GACGGTTAGACACGAGCACATAGCAATATTGAGGACTTACAAGTCAGCTGAAAATTTCAGGACCCTGTGAGATTAGTCGAGGTGCGCGTAAGCTGATTCGGACACCAAAAAAAAATAAAAATATATCCTTTATTGTCTCTGGACACCCGAAATTCCTCTTTCCCTTTCTGCAAATGGAATGGAGTTATTTGTTACGATTCGTCCCATGCAGCAAAAATCGAGCCCTCAGGGAAGAATTTGTCTAGAAAATTATCTGAGAAGATTTTCCGGTTCCCATATGTTCAAAATATGGATCTTTCCGGCAATCAGTTCGTAGAAAAATTTACAGGGAATTTGTCAATGTGTTTTTTGCTCAAGAATGTCAATCTAAGCAATAATCATTTTAACAGGTCTAATGCTTGGAGGCTTGCTACCAGGGGCGGACCCACATGGGATCATGTAGGGTCAAATGACCTTACAATTTTTTGGAATTTTTTTTCTTCTGTTGAAAACGTAACTTTCCAGTCTTATCAGTGCCAAGTCTGCCACTGCCAACAGCCAACCCAATTAATTTTCCTAACCCAATGTCCAAAAAGCTCAAATCCTAAATCTATATCCATTTCATATGGTCCATATCCATAGTCCATAGATGTAAGGGAAAATTTCATGACCCAGAACATAAGTATAGGATATTTCAAATCAAAGATGACATGTTTGAACTTTCAAAAATTAGAAATATATGTATTAATGTATATATCAATCAGTTCCTACAATTTAGCATCAACTTACCATTAATTGTTGGACTCTGTCATAACAAATTCACCTTCCAAAATTGCAATTGATTGGTTAGACAAGGAATAAAGGATATAGATTTGATCCACCTCTTACAATTCATATCTCATATGACGAATTAAAGCCAGTAAGCCACGGATTATTTAATATTAAGGTCACAAATAATAATAATAATAATAATAATAATAATAATAATAATAATAATAATAATAATAATAATTGGTCACAAATTCACGATTTAATTAACCATGCATTATTTTTCGGTCACAAATCAAAATTTTTATGTATCACAAATTATTTTACGGTCACAATTCAAAAATTTAATAGGTCACAGTTTATTCATTTGTCACGAATCAAAAAATTTATACGTCACAATAATTTATTTATTGGCCACAAATTAAAAATATTATAAATAACAATTTATTAACAATCACAAATTTAATAATTTTTTAGGTCACATGTTATTTCTTAGTCACAATTCCTCTTTTTCACTAGTCACACGTTGTTTACTGGTCACAGATTAAATCATATGTGACCGCAACCCCACCACTGCCGCCAGCCGCATCGACGTGCCAACTGTCGTCGCCCCTCAACTAGCACCACCTTACCACCAACAACCAACTAGATACAAAATCACCAACATCCCATCTACCCCCCAACCACCACACCACGACCACTGTCAGTTTGTTGAAAACCATTGCCAGAGCAACCACCACATCAATGCAAAATCACCACCATGGTAACCACACCGCCACCATACACCGAACTCCAACAGCTATCAATCGCGACATCACCATATCACAGGGCCTTGCACACCACGCATGACCACCAACACACCACCACCTAAAAAATTACCACAAAACAACCAAAAACCACCACAAAATTCATCCCAAAAAGAGAAACCATAAACCACAAAATCCATCTCTGCCCGCCACGCACATCAGCAAATCTCGCTGTGCGCGGCGAAATCAAGCACCTGCCGATGAAAGAACGAAGAAGAAAGAAGATGACTGTCGTCGCTGCTACTTCACATCGCGATAGTAGTGGTGGGGATTGCTGAGATATTGTTCAACACAAAACGAGGCTGAGCGATGGTGGCGCAACGCGACGGTTATGCAAAGAAGAAGAATGATCGTCGCCGAAATTGGTGGTGGCGCCGGACATGATGATAGAGAGAAGATTGAGAAGGGGGAACGGTTGAATAATTTCTAGGGTTTGAAGTTTATCCATTTACTTTTTAGTATTTATTTTATATATTACATGTTTAATTAAAAAAAGGTGAGAGAATAAAGTGGAGAGAGAAATTAATTATATTGGAGAGAGAAGATTGGTGAGAGAATGAAATTTAAATAATTAATATTTAATATTTAAATATAAAAAATTTGATTTTTGAAATGTTAAACTACTCCTCTTATTTTTGAACCCTAGATTTTAACTGTATGGTTTTGTGACAAAACTCCCAAAGTGAGCCCGACAGTTCTTCTCAAGTTAAATATCTGAACGGATATTTGAATCAAGAACCGACGGGTATGGTTCGATTCTCGATTTTAGGCCAAGACCCGAAGAACCGAATCTCCGTAGTTTTTTAATTAATTTATTTTAAATAAATAAAATTATTTTATTTTTTCTAAATAAAATTGTTAACTAGTTAATTTAGTTCAAACCATAAAATATGATTTTCCTATTTCTAATTTTCAGTTCAAAATCAACTTAATCAAATTGACATCAATTTTATCCAAATTTGTTATCTACTGTAATCTCGTTTCTACCGGAGAAAATCGAATTAAAGCTCTACAACATCTCTCTTAATTATTTTGAGCTCGCTATCTTTCTCTTTTTGTGATAATAATCAAATTTATGAAAAATTCAGTAAAGAGGGACGTGAAACACATAAGATTGAACCACGTTATTTTGTAAGAGCTAATATTGAACATATCATTAATTAAATTAAGGTAACTTTATATATATTAAAAATTTTAATTATAATACGAAATCGAATGGAATCGAACCGGATCAAATCGAACCGAACCCGAACGGTTCCGTAATTAAATTTTGATCCGACGATTCTACTTACTAAATACCCAAAAATTTCGGGTCAGTTCGATTCTTGTTAGAACCGAATCAGACCATGTCCAGCCCTATGTAATCCCATTGACCCATTCCCAATCCATGTCCATTTACTAATTCTTCCCAAAGTGCAAACACGAACAGCAAACCACCGATTTTTCCTTTTTGTTCGTGAGTTCGCCAGTTGAGTTCACCACAACCTTCCATCGCCGACCATCCCTTAGGCCTCAACGGCTCAACCCTTGGCCGGTTGGCCCTTGCTACTGTGAAAATTTGAAAAAGGTATGTTAATGTAGGGTTTGGATTTGTATATGTATCATTTTAGATCCCACAGATTGAACCATCTGGATCCACCCCTGCTTACTACCACTTATTGAAACATAGGATCTCCCCAACAATATGATCTAATCAAATAGGACAAAACAGATTGAGAAAAATGATTAATAAAATTGGGAGGTTGAGTACACCACAATATTGTATTTTGTTTTTCATGTTTAGTATGTATTGTATTAGGCCCCATTTTTTCTATCAAAATACATTCTACAAAAATAATTTGATATTATTTTAACTACATATTTTTTAATAAAATAATATTACAAGCAAATTCAAAAATTTTCCTTATTTTTTAACCACACATTCTCAATCATAACACCATTTCAAAATGCATTTTTTTAGAAAAAATGAGGCTCAAACAACCCCGAATATATTTGTAAATTTATTGTGGTGTATTTATTAAAAATATATTTTAATTGTGAAATGATTATAATGTGATGTTGTAATTAAATTTTGTTGTGGTAATATAAGTACTCATAATTTTATATGATAATAAAAATATTTAATTATTTGTTTTCATTTTTTAAATTTCACACTTCCACCCAATTGAGACTGGAATCCATGTCACCTTAAGGCTTTGCTCATATCACTTTAGTTAGATCTTAATGATATAAATTAACAAAAATATTAAATTCATCAATAAAAGAAAAATATAGTAAAATTAATCGAAACAATATAAAAAAAATAAAAAAATTTATATTTAAAAAATTTATATTCTTATTTTAATTAATTCATTAACTATTATTCTTCACATTATTAGAATTTATTATAAATTCACATAATAATAATATTCAAAATAATAATAATTATAATAAAAAATATTGTATTAAAAATATATATCATAAATGACACAAATACCATTAATCAATTTATTTAAAAAATATAAACAAAAGATAAAATTGACTTTGCACCAAATGCTGCATTACAGACATTTTGCACCTTTTTTTTTTTTTGTTGCATTTCGGTATTTTGGTATCTCCTTTGGAGAAGGCCTAATGGGGAAGAGACTTGGGTGATAAGGTATATACCATTAAAAAAAAAAAAAATTAAAACCTAATTTTTGAAATTGATATTTTAAATGTAAGGTTCAAAAAGTCAGCCATGTAGTTCACAATTTCGAGATATTGTTGAACTTCCAGTTTAGAGATATCTTTTTCTGCAAATAAACCCTCCTGGGCAACAACATAGGGCCTGACTTTCTAGAATGCCGCGTATTACATAGGTTGGTATACATAGTATTCTAGCCCGCAAATAAACACTCTTGGGCAATGACACATGGCCTGACTTTTGGTATTAAAAAGATTATCGGACCTCCATATTGAATCTAATGATCGGTAGTGCCAATTTCTGATGTAGATGATCTTCAATAGAGGTAACTGTAGAGCATACTTATGATACGACTGAGATCTTACTCTTACTATTCATCTTGGTGTTATAATAGTCGTCAAGACTTTGGATGAACAAGAAAAGCTTTTAGAAACTCATAGAGATAGGAAACACACTTCTTTATTTAATACTAGTCGTTGACACGTACATTGCACGAATATTGTATTTATTATGTTTTTATTAGTGTAGAAATTTTAGATAAACCCTTGGAGTTACAGGGAGATTTTGAGTGGTAATTAAAGAAGACATTGTAGACTTTCCAACGGTATCAAAATTTGACGGTATCAGAGGTCGGAAATGACCAAAAAATTGCTGCAAAAGTAGCCCAAAAAACTGAAAAAATATTTTTGAACATCAATGACCGTTTCTGAAAGTTTTTAAACTTAAGTGACATTTTTTTAAAGCGTCCCAAAACTTAAGTGACCGTTACTGAAAGTTTTAAATTTCAATGATTGTTTTGTAACTTTCTCCTAAGTTCAGTGACCGTTTGTGAAATTAACCCTTTAAATTAGTAAATAAGTGAGAATTACGAAATTAATTATTTTTTAATTGCTATATCATGATTATTTTTAAAAAAAAAATCTAAACAACAAATCTATATTTGGTGAAGAATTAAATGAGTTAGCAAACCAATCATGCGAGTGTGCTTGCAAACTAAAATGCTCTCCGTACAGCGCAAAGAGTTCGCTTGAACTCTCACATTGTGTGAAGAGATTCAGCTTTAAATACTATTTGATTATTTATTTTTTTAGTTTACCATATTTTTTCAGCTGAAGTATTTAACTATATATTTATTTGACTAACCACCTTGAAGATAACATTAATGAGCTAAAATAGTAGTATAATCACAAACAAGAAATATATGCTATTTACCTTTCAACAACAGAAAACAAACATCACTAAAAATTCTAAATCAAAACTCGCCAACTTTTATAAGAAAAAAATGGGGTTGAAAATTTTAGAAGAGAAGAAAGATAAATGGATGTTGTGTGAAGTAGGAAAATGCTGGCTCCAATAAAAAAAAAAATACTCTCCCCATTTGAACTCTCCGAGCACTATGAGAGTTCAACACGCTGTGGAGAGTTCGGTTGAACTCTCATAGTGTGCGGAGAGTTCGCAATTAATTTTTTTCCTTCTTTTTTTTTTTTTTTTTTGCCTAAAGAAGTAAGAAAAATGTTAGCTTCAAAAAAATAAAAATAAAATGCTTTCCGCACAGTGCAGAGGGTTCGCTTGAATGCGGAACTCCGCACCTTGTGATTGTCAGCTTCTTAAAGAAGATATACCTCTTAACTCTATTCACTCTTGCAGCCTTTATTATGTTAAAATTTTGCTTATATAAAAGCAAAATATGCTTATATAAAAGCAAAATAAATAATCAAAATCAACATATTACACAAACGTATGAAAATAAACAACGAGACCTATAATGGATCCTGATATGGTGGCAAGAACAACATTGGAAGGAATAAACCACCTAAAAAATGACAAAAATGTCAGTACTTGGGCTATTAAAACTAGTTATTGTAATTTAAAATGAGCAAGCGACAATTGAATCATTTTCTCAAAAGTAATTACTTGTCCAAGTTGAGATGAGAGAATTTCGAACATGGGAGCAGAAAACTAATTGCATCAAATGAAATTAATTTTTTTATCAGACTCTACACAAAGGGATTATAAAATAAAGTTGAACATGGCATCTTGACATCCAAATACACATAACAATAATAAACAACGAACTAAGCCCTATTTGGTTGGGTTAAAAAAGTAGATTAAAATCTATGGTTTTTCCACTCATCTGTACTAAAACTGGAATTCCTCTAACACAATTCCGTTGATTTTCCTCTCCAAACTGGTTGGAGAGTTTGAAGCTCAGTTTGAATCCGAACTCTTCAAATAGTTTGGAGAGCTTTATTAAAGAAAAAAACTATGCCTGGATAGTTTAATACTAATGGATTTAAAAAAATAAAATAAATCTATGCCTCTCCAAACTGTTTGGAGAGTTGTTTGGAGATTTTGGAGACAACTCTCCAAACTGTTTGGAGAGTTTGATACTAATGGATTTAAAAAATTAAAAAAATTTATGCTTCTCCAAACTGTTTGGAGAGTTTGATACTAATGGATTCAAAAGAAAAACTTATATCTCTCCAAGCTGTTTGAAGAGTTGTTTGGAGATTTTGGAGACAACTCTCCAAACTATTTGGAGAGTTTGATATTAATAGATTAAAAAAAATTAAAAAAATCTGTGCCTCTTCAAGCTGTTTTGGAGAGTTTGGAGCTCTCCAAACTGTTTGGAGAGATTGGAATTCAGTTTGGATCCGAACTCTCCAAACAGTTTGGAGAGTAGAGCAACTCCGCACTTTGCTCCCAACAAAGTGCGGAGTTCTTCCATACAAAGTGTGCGAAGTTACTCCGCACAGTGAGGAGCAACTCCATACTTTGTATGTGCACACTTCGCAGCAAATTTTTTTTTCTAACATCTACAATAAAATTAGCAAAACTAAATGCACGATTTGGATTATTTGGAGAATTTGTCCAAACTCTCCAAACTATTTGCAGAGTTTGGAGAAACTCTCCAAAGAGTTTGGATCCAAACTCTCTTGAGAGTTTGGAGAACGTCGTATTATTATTATTATTATTATTATTATTATTATTATTATTATTATTATTATTTTTACAATAGAGAGTTTGTCCAAACTCTCCAAACCGTTTGGAAAGTCAAACTCTCTGGAGAGTTTGGAAAAGATCATAAATTTTTTTTTTTTTTTACCATAAACTCATTTTGAAAATGGTGGAAGCCAAACTCTTCGTAGAGTTTGGAGAAGATTCTAATTTTTTTCTTTTACAATAAACTCTATTTTGAAAATGGTGTGGAAGGCGAGGCCATTCTTACCCATTTCATCTTCCTTGTTTTTTTTTTCACTTGGCTTAGAAATATCATCTGAGAATTTACCTGTGCATTATTTGAAGAGAATTTGTAATAGTTAAAAAATAAGGACAATTCAAGACACCAAGAGATGACAACGTGAAATTTTGTCATAAAGCCACAACTTAAAGTTCGTTTCTAGTAAAAGAAGGCTTCCTAAATTTCTTTGCAACTCATACTCCAATCAACAATTTATAACTACAATAACAAGATGATATCCAAAACTTATATCTCAATTAGCAATTTTTTTTATAAAAGAAGACATGAAATAAAAAAAAATGAATGGAGAACAGAATCACTTACCACTGCACAAGTCAAGCCCCAACAAACTTCACTGGATGATTCTGGTAACAATAATAAATGCACAAAACTACCATTACAACAAAAAATTAACAAATAAAACCAATTAAATCCATAAATCGGAAACTCACTTTGAATATTTGGAACAACCTACAAAAGAAATAATATTCATATAGAGCAATAATTAGAAAAATATTTGAGCGTATAAATATGAAAACGTGCACCAGATCATACCCAGATGAAAGAGTGCCGACCCAAACCGCAAAAGGATGAAGAACAGTGGTGTAGTCATTGTTTGATTTTCCCGATGGTTTTCTTTCGCCTCCATCAAATCAAGTCAGAAGAAAAGCATAGGAATGGTCGTTGGAGGGAAAAAAATGGAAATGGTATGGTATTAGGTATGCTATCAGCCGAAAATAATAAAAAATAAAAGGGTACAAAAAATGACACCATTTTCTTCTCTTGCACAATAACTTCGGATTAGTTTACTGTTCATTTAATAGTAGCACCTTGTTCCCATTTTTAAGAAAAGTTAGAAAAGGGCTGGGTTCGAGATAATCTATAATGAAGGACGAAACCCTTTATATAGAGGAGGGAATCCTTCATTCATGATATTACAACCAACACACAAGTGAAATAATGTTATAGAAAGACACGTCTCATTTCTATTTTTGATAAAGTAGGATAAGATAACTGACACAAAGGTAATAATTAGATAAGAAATAATGACTCATCACTTGGTGGTTTTGGATTTCATTCAGACTATCCATTTTTCATATTGTTCCATATGATTCCACATCAAACAGCCTCAAAATTTTCAAAAGAATTGCTTGGCTTCTGGTGGTGTTTATTGAAACTTTATCAAGTTCGAATTTCTTTTAATGTCAGTGAGTCTCTTGAATGGTTCAAGGAAATTAGTTTTCAAGGTTCAAACAAAAATGATCCATTTCAAGAAGCACATGTTGAAACAAAAAAGTTCTTTCAATAATTTTATCCTATTTCCCATTGGATGATCTTATCCCCTTTGTCATTTGTAATAAATACTCTTTTAAAAGCAGATTCTTAGCTTTTTAAAAGGTCTTTGTCGCAATATAAAATTATTGCATTGGTGTCAATTATCTTTCCTACTTTATCAAAAGTAGTGATGAATCGTTTGTTTGCTTTGTATAATTGATGTTTTGTGTCAGTTCTCTTATCCTACCTTAAGTTCACTCTCAACGAAGCTAGACTCCCTTTCCGTTAGTTCAAGTTACCATTGTTGATCCAAAAGCTATCTTGTTATAAAATTATTGTACTTGTATATTAGTTGTATTGTTATTAATGAATGATTCCCTCCTCTATATAAAGTGTTTCCCTCCTTCATTCATCTCGAGCCCAGCCCTTTTATTAAGTAAAAAAGTATGTTTCCTATCCCTATGAGTTTATAGGAACATATGTACAGCTTGATCGGTCTATTTCCATTTGGATGAACAAAGTATCATCTATACCGTGAGGGTGGCAAAACCGAGAGAATGATTTTGAATTCTGTAGGCCATCTAGTAGTAATTGCTCTATTTGTGACTGCTGTTGGAATTGCACCAATTTGAACTTGGATCTTCAAGGTTGATAACACCAATGGATCTGTTGTTAAAATCTGGAAACATAGTAAAAAGTACTGTTCCCGCATTTAAGTGTGGTTTAAACAATGCCAATACATGCATATTGATGCCCATGGGCTGTGTAGGCCCATATCCTACTTTCTAACAGCAACAGAAAGCAGGCCACTATTGGAACAATCACAAATTTAACGAAAAGAAAGTTTACAAAAATAGCACTTCATGAAGTTGATTGATAATCTAGCACTTTTTTCGTCCACATCCCACTTCCATATTCTTTTCTTTTTCAATTGGAATTCAGAATCAGATTTTAGAAAATTGAGCTCAAACTGAATAATATTTTGAAGTATCAGTTCTTCACCAAATTGGTTCTTCTTTACCTATAGTCATTGTCGTATGCTTGGAGGTTAAATCGATGGAGTATGGTGCATCTCATGCTGTACAACTTGAATTTCTCCAACTCCAAGGAGTTGCATAAATTGCTTGAATTTTTCCTTGTGTAGCGCCTTTGTCAAAAGGTTTGCAGCTTACTTTATTTTATTTATTGATTGCAACACATCAAATTCAACTATTATAAGAAAAATAAAATTTATTTGTCCATACATTAACTTTCTTAATTACGAATGTCTTGTAAGTAAATTAGTTACATGTTTAAAGAAAAACCATAAAAAGAGTGTTAAAAGATTAGATGGCTCATTTTAGTTTTATTTTTTTCATTTTCACATCAAAAATCTACTTAACAAAGTGCTAAATCTCTCAAGTTTAGTTAGGTTATATCCGATTGCAAGTATGAAACTTTCCTTAAAAGAAAATAAGCTCTTAATTGCCTAAAAATTATTTGGACTTAATATACAACCTAGAAAATGTTGTACTTTTACACAAAGTTGAGTTTTTGAGAAATGTGAATTGTCTAGAAAATAAAAACATACTCTCCATAAAGAAAATATGTTTCTTATTTTTAAGAGAAACGGTCATATGACTAACTTTTAAAAAATATTTTTTCATGAAAAAATATCAATCAAACACTCCAAATGTAGGAACTCAAATGAAAAAATGACATTTTTATGGAAATTAAAGCAAATTTTTATTCAGAATTTCAAGAAAATGTTCAAACTTATACAAGGAGACCACTTAGAAAGTGGAAACATGCGGTATTAGACCATTAAATACTTGAATGGATCAATTTCGATGAATATGGGGGAATTATAAAAGGGTAAGGATGGCTAAGTACTTACAAGGAGATTATAGGCAATTTCAATTTACTTTCAAAAATTTTGCCACTTTGATACATGGCCCAAAATGAGCATCTGAGTTTAGTGCACATGATATGTTTAAAGTGGATTCATGCTCGTTGAAATTTGGACCTTGAAAAAGGAGAAAACGAGAGGTCTATAAGGCATTGAGATTTGGATTATGGAAGACAAAATGAAGAGCCACAATCAGATTCGACAAGTGCATTGAGAGGCAAAGGATCACACAGACTTTCTTCTACTTTTTATTTTTTCTTCCTTTTAGCCCCTATTTGATTGAGATTAGTTATAATTAGATTTTTAGTTGATTTTGATAAAAATTAATAAAATATATGACCGAAAAGTTGGGGATCCCATAAATATGTTATTAAGCCCATGTTTGGGAGCCATTTTGACCAAATGCAAAATACATTTTTTGATCATTTCAACAGGTAGGTGGAATCCAGACGAGCTTTAATTATTGATTACAGATGCTGCACACGCTGTGAATTATCAGAATTGTCCTTTGTTAAACAAGAATGATTTTTTTTTTTTGTGTAGGGACACATTGGTAATTTGTCTGTAATTAAGTCAAAACATACGTCCCCTTCTCTAACAAGTCCAGTATAACGACTAGTATTTTTCTAACAATATGATACAAAATGGCTCCCGAACAGGGGCTAAAATAAATTTCTGATTTTGATTTAGATTGAAATCTGAATTTTAATTCCTATCTTAAATTGAAATCTGAATTTTAATTCCTATAAGACATGAGCATAATCTCGAAATACTGTGGAAATATAGCCCACAAACATGAGCACCAACTTTTACTGGTTTACAAAACATGAAATATAGCCCCAGTTTGGTTCAAAAAGTAAATTAAGCTCCTATTTGTTTTCCATTATTTGTTCATTAAAATGAAAATTATGATCGTTATCAATTACATTAAACCACTATATTTGAGTTTCTATCTCTTTTATGAGGTTCGTAGTGACTATATTTTACATTCTCATTCTTATATTTATGTAGCTCAAACAGAGCCTAAAATTTAAGTTAAAATCAACTATGAATTTTAACTTCACATTTCATTGGATTGAGAACTTATCAATGACACCTTCCACCAATTTTAATTAAAATCTGCAAAAAAATATGATTTTTATCTAAATCAAACGGGCTTAGTTATGCATAAAAATTTATCTTATACAAGCTAGAGCCTGTCATGAGACATACTCTAGTTATCATCTAAGGTTGTGATTCTTGTTTATGAAACTATTAATTATGGTTTATCTTTTAGTTTAGTTAAAATAAGTGCACTGATTGAAAGGAAATACCAACTTAGTCACTAATTATGTGACCAATGATTTTATTTTCAAACAAAGAGAGAGTTAGCTAGTGGGATGATAGAGTAAAAGGAGACAGAAAGATTAAAAAGGAGGATGAAATAATGTTAGTAAAGAAAGTGGTGGTGGGAGCATGTGATGCAAAGTTCCCAAATGCAAAATAAAGAAGGAAAAAAAAAGGGGATTTAGGGATGAGAATAAAGTATTTATGCTTCACACAAATGTACAAGCACTTATTAGACTTGAAAGTGACTATCAAAGTTTAAAATTGGCTAGAGCACATATTTAACACGTCAAACAAATTAAGTCCCTGTTCGATAGAAACTAAAATTTAGATTTTAAGTTAGGTGAAAGTCAATAATTAATTTTAATCATATATTTTATGGGATTTATAATTTTTCAACCATGCATTTCACAATTTTTTTTATCAAAATCTATTAAAAATTTGATTTAATTTCCACCAAATAATGCCTAAAATACGAATAATTGTTCAATATCAAAGGACTATGGTTCCACCGTTCAAATCTCTTACTACGCTAATTAACAAACGTTTTCGACTTTAAAGAATATGAGAAATATTTTTATTTTAAGGTTATTTCATGAATCTCTTTTTTCGATTTTCCTAAACTCTGATAAAGATGAAGTCCAATAAATTCTCATTCAAAACTTGGAGCTTTCAAATCTTAGATGTACTTTCCATTCGCGTTCAAGTAAAATCTCATATAGCTTAAATATAAAAAATTATAATCAATAAAAAGAATTATTCAACTCTCCTAAATAAGCATATGCAATTTCAAGACGCGGTTATTTGTAAAAGTAAGATCTTGTACAAAGATGAAGGGAAAACCTAGACTATTATTAGCGTATAGACCGTGAAATTTAAAAGTCTGAATTAATCGAGTGCTTATGATGGAAGTAGTGTTCACAATTTTTATTTTTTTATTTTTATAATTATTAATTTTCAACTTTGAAGGTATAAAGAAGAGCACTAGTAGTGAATGGAGATGAAATGAAAGCTGGTATTGGTTAATGAAGATTTATGTTTCAATCAATCAATGAACCTGCTGCCTTGTAATGCTCAAAAGCTGTATACATCTCAGCTGCCAACTAAAAAGGAGTCATAACTAATTTTATTAAATAATTTTGTTCTAGACCCCTACCTTTAATAAAATGGCTTTTTGTGTTGATGTTAAATTTTGATCAACGAGACAAAATTCCTTTTTAACTCTATGTAAGAGAAAATGTAAGTTCTTGATAGTTAAAAGGTTTAGACTTATTTAATAAATAAGTCAAATTGAGTGCTTGTTTAGTAAAATTTTAGAAAAATTTAACTGGTCATGTTTCGATTTTAATTGCACTAAATTTTATCAACTTTTTT